CAAATGCACATTCCACCACCATTCTGCACTTGCTCAGCCTGTAGTTGAACAGCTCCTGACTCCTGTCCAGGCTGCCTATGTATGGCTTCATGAGCCATGGCATTAAGGGGTAGGCTGGGTCCCCAAGGATAACTATAGCCATTTCAACATCCCCAACGGTTATTTTCTGGTCCAGGAAGTAAGTCCCTTGCTGCAGCCGTTTAAACAGAGTAGTGTTCCTGAAGACGCGAGCGTCATGAACCCTTCCCGGCCAGCCCACATTGATGTTGGTGAAACGTCCCCTGTGATCCACCAGTGCTTGCAGCACCATTGAAAAGTAACCCTTGCGGTTTATGTACTGGGTACCCTGATGCTCCGGTGCCAAGATAGGTATATGGGTTCCATATATTGCCCCACCACAGTTAGGGAATCCCATTGCAGCAAAGCCATCCACTATGGCCTGCACATTTCCCAGAGTCACTACCTTTCGTAGCAGCAGCTCAATGATTGCTTTGGCTACTTGCATGACAGCAGCCCCCACAGTAGATTTGCCCACTCCAAATTGATTCCTGACTGACCGGTAGCTGTCTGGCATTGCAAGCTTCCACAGGGCTATTGCCATTCGCTTCTCAACTGTGAGGGCTGCTCTCATCCTGGTATTCTGGCACTTCAGGGCAAGGGAAAGCAAGTCACAAAGTTCCATGAAAGTGCCCTTACGCATGCGAAAGTTTCGCAGCCACTGGGAATCGTCCCACACCTACAACACTATGTGGTCCCACCAGCCTGTGCTTGTTTCCCGGGCCCAGAATCAGCGTTCCACGGATAGAACCTGCCCCATCAACAACATGATCTCCAAAGCGCCGGGGCCCGCGGTTTGAGAGAATTCTGTGTCCATGTCCATGTCCTCATCACTCTCGTCGCTGCGCTGCCATCGCCGCCTCCTCCTTGCCTCGTTTTTCTGGTCCTGGTTCAGCATAAACTGCACGATAATGCACGAGGTGTTCACAATGTTCATGACTGCTGTCTTGAGCTGAGCGGGCTCCATGCTTGCCGTGGTATGGCGTCTGCTGTGTTCACCCAGGAAAAAAGGCGCGAAATGGTTGTCTGACGTTGCTTTCATGGAGGGAGGGGTAAGGCTGTACCCAGAACAACCTGCGACAATGTTTTTTGCCCCATCAGGCATTGGGATCTCAACCCAGAATTCCAATGGGCGGGGGAGACTGCAGGAACTATGGGATGGCTATGGGATAACTACCCACAGTGCAATGCTCCGGAAATCGATGCTAGCCCCGATACATGGACGCACACCGCCGAATTAATGTGCTTAGTGTGGCCGCATACATTCAACTTTATACAATCTGTTTCCAAAATTCGAATTCTGTAAATTCGGATTAATCCCATAGTGTAGACATACCCAAAGAAAGCAGAACTGACAAGTTTACCCGAGGCTAGACATACATATTCAATTTTCTTACTAACTTTTACAGATCTCCGGCTGATGTTTCACCATTAGCTTAAGCGGACTCATTGTTTATGTCTTAATTTTCCTTTTCCTGACACCTGTATTTCAGCATTCCTTATTTCTGCTTAAAGGTACTTACAGCATTTCTTTAATCCATTCTATTTTTACAATATAATTCATTTTACTTTCACACTTGCAACATCTCTCTACTACACTTATTGGTCTTTAAGCCTCTCCCTATCATTTCATTCCCCCTCCAGATTCTCCCCACCCCCTTTCACCTTGAGATCTCTCGGGTCTTCTCTCTTTTCCTTGTATCCCTCTTACAGCCAGAGATTTTGTTAATAAAAAGAAGGTCCTTGACTTAAACAGCAAAGGAGCCCCCTCAGGCGTTTGACCTCTAACAAGCAGTCAATCTTCCCAGAGGTTTTTCATTCACATTTTTAACTGTTCCTGTGACTATAATAAACCCAACACAGCAGAGTGCAGGATCTCCAGCCTCTCTGGGAGTGTGGGCTTTGCGTGCTAAGCTCTCCAAGCGGACCTTGTTTTTTATTACAAAAGTTGGTTTCGATGCATATGCAAGATGCTCAGCTCCTTCTTTTGGTGCCTGCCTTGAGCCTTTTGTTCATTCAACCACCCGCATCCATCAGAATGTTCTTTTCCAGCACGTTGATGTGTAACCCCTGTCTTGTATGGCACCACCTCACTCTCTGTAGAACGAAGCTTGCATTTCCCTGGGGCAAATCATGCCATAAGCAAGTGACTCTATCTTTAAATAACAAGCCGTCACTTCTGCTTGCAGTGAAATTCAGAGAAACTATTTCGAAGGTGTTGAGAGCATAAAATACCAGGGAGACATTAAATTAGATTGTCAGGGTTTTACACCTTTAAAAGAAAAAAAAGATTACTTCAGGTTGGAGCCAGTAGGAAAAAGATGGGAAATGTAGGAGACTTGGCTGATCTGCTGTGTAACGAGGAGGCTTGGCTGAAGCTTACAGGGTAATGAAATCTTGCCTTTAGGTTTTCCCTGGAATGGAGAGCTCTCATCATTTATCTGATCAAGGGCACATGTCCCTGAGATGCTCATTGTCGCATAGTCATCCCTCTGAGATTGCTGCCCTCTTTCTGTTGGAAGGATAAATAATGATACTTGTCCCTTTGCTAATGACAAGGAATTTACACACATTAACGGAGTCACCCTCACAACGTCCTTGGCAGGTAGGTGAGTAAGTAGGCTGTCTCCAGTTTCTAGAAGGAGGTAAAAGGCAAAGTGGTTAGAGAGATTGGGTAAAATCTTCAAAGGTGCCTATGTCTCTTAAGTGCCTAAATCCAATTGTCAATGGGATTTGGGTGCCTAACTCACTTGTGGACAGATTTTGAAAGGCATTTAGGCAACTAACTCCCATTGAAATAACTGGGAGTTAGGTGCCTAAATAGCTTTAAAGAATTGTCCTTTAGATACCTCAGTGAAACAGGTGCTTTTGGTAGTTTTCCACAGTCGACATCAAACATATACTGAAAAAATGATCACCTCTGTTACTACTAGCACCTGAGACCATTAGAAGTGAAGGTTTTAATCCAGCGCCCATGTCATTCGTGGTGTTGATTGTTTGCTTTTACTCTCCAGACCAAGTGAACCGACGCTTCCTCCTCCTTTCTGGTTATCCAGGAGGGGAAAAACTAATTCTCCTGGCTCCCACTGCAATTTTTAAAATGCCATGAAAACATCTCTTTCCAGAGCAGGGTTTTTATAAGCCGACCTCCCGTCCACATTTTGGCCTGTTGGCAATGTGCCTTTAAGTGAGCTGCTCATGGCCACAAAGTTGGCCAGTGTCACAGGCAAGCATAGAACAGAAGAGTTCCTGGCTCCCAGTCATGGGCTCAGCCTACTTGAACTGATCTCCCCATCAGATCAAGTGTTGCTCTCCATTGTCAGCTGCTCTCCATTCGTGCAGATAAGAGACTTGGAGGAACTCATTGCTGATTGCTTAATGGGGAAGATACAGGAATGTACCCTGATCCCCCACAAGAATAACTATGCCACTCGAGTCATCTCAGCAGAGAGGCCCAGGGCAATATGTGCATAGACTTAGGGGCTCTCTCAGCCCTAGTCCATTCAAGTCAATTGGAATCTTTCCACTGACTGTAATGTGTTTGGCCCAGGCTTGAAGTGAGTGGGAGGCTTTGTCTGGCAGCAGTGTGGGGAAGCTTTTTGGGGGGCTGGTCCTGCTGTATTGGTGCCTTTTGCCAGCATGGAGTTCACTAGGAAAAATTGAAAGGCCACTGAAATATCTATAATGTACATTCCAGAGGGTGAGTCCCTGACACGTCTGTTTGAGGGGAAAGCAGCATGGCATGAAAGAGACAGGGAGATTCAGGTAGGAGCTATTCCACGTCCACTGCCGTTCCCTGCCTCCTGCAGTGCTGACCAGCATGGACAAGCTATTCTTGGCCCACCCTGGACAGCCCCAGAGCGGACCAAGTCTGAACTTGGCACTAGCTCTGGGAGGTGTGCAAGGCAGAGGACTTCCCCTCCCTGCACACCTAGCATTCCTGCTCAGAGGCAAGGACTGCCTGAGGCTACAGCAGCGCTGGTCTCCCCAAAGGGGATGAAAAGGGATGAGGTAAAGGCAGGACCTGCTTGCTCTGACCTCTGCTCAAATCCACAAACAGCTCAGAGACCTCCTTGCTGGTAAAACGCCCAGTGCAGTTTATTTACAACATTAGTTTCTACCACGCTTATACATTATATGGCCTCACACTTAGAGTCCCAGCCCTCAGCTCCTGAGGCGAGCAGGGAAGAGCAATTCCCCTCCCCCTTTCTCTTTCTGCCTCCTCCTCCTTTTCCCCACTTCCTTCCTGTGCCTTTTGTATCATCTGCCTAATGGCCTGCTTAGCCTCTTAGTTCTCCTCAGCTCATCAATCAGCACAGCTCTTCTTAATGAGGCCTGCTCTGAGGTAATTAATTAGAACTGCAGTGGCTAGAGTGCTGGCTCAGCTGTGCGACCTCCTGGTTAATTGCCTCCTGGTGCTGGCCAAGGTGGCCGCCTGCCATACCAGGAGGAGGATGCTGGACAGGGAGCCGCTCTGCGACTGTGGGGCCTACTTCTGTTTCTCTCTTGTTTCCCACATCTGGGCAGAGTTCCTCTGGGCAGTGTCCGCTGGCTCCCTAGACACCTTCGAAGAGCAGTGGGCGCTATCTGGGGTTCTCTGCTCGATGTGCCCTTCTGGATCCCTGATTTTGAATCTGTGACCCTCACTCCCATCCCTGTTTTTCATTTGCTGTCCCCCGAATTTGCTTGAGATCTAGGTCTGGTAGCTTCTCCCCTTACGCGATGGGAAGGGCCTTCAGATGTGGGCAGTCTTGGACCTGCCCATCCCTGGGTTCTCAATGGGTGCTGTTGCCCAGCCCTCTGTCACACCGGGCCCACCAAGGGGGCAGCTGGAGTTGCAGTCCCTCTGTGTTTCCTAGCCCCGGCAGCTCCCAACCCTCTGCCCACCGTTCTGCTGTGGGGTGTGGCTTAAAGCCATGATCTAACCTTAAATACACAACCATCACTGACAGAAGGAGGGGTGGGCCTGAATCTGATGCAAAGCCTGCGGGGTTGGTTCCAGAGTTTCCTTTGGGCCCCTCTCTAGATGGAACAGTTACTGTCTGATATACCTGGTCAAGGAGCCGAGGGTTCAGGCTGTGATAGACTGCCAACATCCTGTAATATCCTGAACAAATCTTGTGGAATTAAGATAAGCTTTACTGAATTAGAGTTAATACCTTTGGGGTCCATTGTGTAAACGTGCCACTGATGTGTTGTTGTTCGACTGTATGGACCTTCTCGAGTAGGAGGAGGGCGTGCTAATAAACTTCCTCTCCTCTGAACCGCTGAGGGGCGATACAGTGCAGTTGCCCTGAACTGTGACACAAGTCTCTCCTATGCTCCGGTTAGCCCTATAAGGGCTTGTCCACACGATTGTACCGTTTAACTCAATTTGATTTAATTAACAGGTGCAACTTTTGGTGTGCACTCTCTTCTCTCAGTTTAACACTGGGGATATTAGGGCAGCGCATATTTGTAAATTAACCCATGCAAGCTAAACACCTGTAAACCAGGGTTAAACTGATAGAAGATTGTCCACACATAAAGTAGTACTGGTTTAACTAAATCAGTATCAAACCAGACCTTT